AAGGTTGCAGTTTGCATGCTGACTGAAGATGTTGTGCTGTCTCAGGAAGTGGATGTAGCTTTGGAGGTGGTCACAGCAGTTGCTTGGCCTTAAATAGATTCACATACACTGACCTAATGAGATCAAACACACATGGCATTTGACAATGCACATTTGAAGGCAAGTAGATGCATGTAGATGCATGTCCTGGCCCCCAGGACATGGATGAAGCTAGCAGGCCTGCATCTGAAGCTGAAGATGGGGAAGCCACAGTTCCTCGACAATGGTTATTTGGGGTCATCTGTTTGTTGACTGATCAATGCAAGTATTCCAATAACTTTCATGTGGATAATAAAGTAAAAAATATTTAGTGTACAAGTATGCATGTGTGTATGAATATTTCAAATATTGCCACATGGGTTTGCATGATTCCTGGGAAGGTTGCAGTTTGCACATGTACATTCAACCTGAGTTGGTCAGTGATGTTCCTTGACCTTAGGTATATTTGCAAACACTGATTTGAATTAGATCAAACACACATGGCATCTGCAAAAACAACTTTGCCCTGTGCCTGTAGATGCATGTCCTGGCCCCCAGGACATGACTGAAGCTAGCAGGCCTGCATCTGAAGCTGAAGATCAGGAAGCCACAGTTCCTCGACAATGGTTATTTGGGGTAATCCATTTGTTGACTGATCAATGCAAGTATTCCAATAACTTTCATGTGGATAATAAAGTAAAAATTATTTAGTGTACAAGTATGCATGTGTGTATGAATATTTCAAATATTGCCACATGGGTTTGCACGATTCCTGGGAAGGTTGCAGTTTGCACATGTACATTCAACCTGAGTTGGTCAGTGATGTTCCTTGACCTTAGGTATATTTGCAAACGCTGATTTGAATTAGATCAAACACACATGGCATCTGCAAAAACAACTTTGCCCTGTGCCTGTAGATGCATGTCCTGGCCTCCAGGACATGGCTGAAGCTAGCAGGCCTGCATCTTCTTCAGATTCACTGATCCGGGTTCCTTGACAATGCTTATTTGGTGTTCATGGGTCTGTTAACTGATGTAAGTCTTCCATGTATTTGAAAACATCATTGAGTACAAGTATGTAGGTATGTTGGTTTATAAAAGTACAAACTGGCATGGCATGTACATACAAAGGCATGCAATGCAAATATATAGGAAGGTTATTGTTTGTAAAGTTGACCTTCTCTTACCACCCAGGCAAAGGCAATGCCAATTCGTCCCAAAGCGATGCCACGACTGCATGTGGAAATCTCAGACTGCATGGAAACAACACTGCATGTGTTTTTTGTATGTAATCCACAAATGACATGAGGAGTTTCACTCTATTGCTTTCACGATTTATCATCAGGATCCAGTCTAATGATGTACAAAGATATGCAAGGATGTACAAAACTATGTAATGCACATAACCAGATTATTGGTTGCAGAAAGAAGCATTGTACCAAAACAAATGCCTGTCAGAGAATCCTTTCTTTACAAAAATGTATGTGGAACTTTGTCAAAAACATATGGAACATCATCAGCCTTTCTTTGCACATGCTCAGTTCACAAGAGTACTCAATGTTTTCGATTTATTAGAAATGTATTGCTTTGGGGCATGTGAAAACCTGAGGTGAAGAAGAGGAGTCGGGAACCCTCACTGGCAGATCTGCAGGATGTCAATGGCCAGCACATGAACCTTGGCTGAGAGTTTCAACCCCATGTATTTTTGGCATCACTATAAATCAAAACCTGTCCATCAGTGTTACATTCATTGGGCACCATAATGTAGTCCAAGTGCCCATGTGTGTGTGTGTATGAATTGTTGCCACAGCTATGTCATCACAAACATGACTATTGATCGGTGATTGTCCGACATATTTATCATTCAGCTAACTCTCCCCGGTTGTTTCTAAGGACCGAGATCTCCAGTGGCATCTTTCTGGGAGGGGTGCCGCCCTACGATCACCTGGAAGGCTGCTCAATCCTCTGCTGTCTCGGAGCGAATGGCGAGTGGAATTTTGTCCTGCATTCAGAATTATGACTCAAAAAAAAATCATTTCCATCATCCTGGAATCCTAGACTACAATCGTACCTTTTTGTTTGCACTGTTTTTTTTCTTAATATTGTTGTTGTTGTTGTTGTTGTCATCAGTCCTGGTTTCCAGGACTGCTTTGTGTTGCTGTTGTTGTTATGGTTGGTGTTATGATTGTTGTCATTGTTGTCCTTGTTGTCCTCGTCATTGTTGTTGTTGTTGTTGTTGCTGTTGTTGTTGTTGTCGTTGTTGTTGTTGTTGTCAGTCCTGGTTTCCAGGACTGCTTTGTGTTGCTGTTGTTGTTATGGTTGGTGCTATGATTGTTGTCATTGTTGTCCTCGTTGTCCTTGTCATTGTCATTGTTGTTGTGGTTGTTGTTGTTGTTGTTGTCATCAGTCCTGGTTTCCAGGCCTGCTTTGTGTCCCTGTTGTTGTTGTTGTTGCTGTTGTTCTCATTATGATGGTTTCATATGTTGTTTGTTGTTGCTATTCTTGTTGTTGTCTGTCCTGGTTTCCGGGACAGCTTTATGTTGTTGGTGTCATGGTTGTTTTTGTTGTTGTGATTCTTGTAGTTACTGTAAAGGTTTGGTTTACTGTAGACATCCTTGTTGTTGTCAGTCCTGGTTTCCAGGACAGCTTTGGCTCTTGTTGTTGATGTCAAAGTAGTTTCTGTTGTTTCACTCCTTTTTGTAGTTTATATATTGGTTTGGTGTTGTTGTTGTTAAACATGTTCATGCACATGCAAGTTTTTTTATAGAAGATCACCTGGGATTACTGCTGGTACTAAGGACTTCAGCTCAGTGCGAGAGTCTAGCCGGAAGGCAGTCACTGGAGTTCCACAGCCTGAACCTGACGCACGAGTACAACAGAGGCAATCTGGTCAATGCGTGGCTCAGCTGCACTAATTGCAGGGTGGCATATTTATTCTCCATTGGGCAACCGACCATATCACCTTACAGTTAATAGAAATTTTGCTCAACCAGGAAAACTGTATAGATAATACTTTATTGTTCATTTGTATCCACCTAGAATTCTTTAAATCTAAGGCTGCGACGAGCACTGCAGTTTGTCAAAGAGCAGCGCTCCATCAACCCGATCCTCATTCATTGCCGGCATGGCAAAAATCGGAGTGCGGCCGTGGCCGTCTTGGTCATCAGTCTTCTGGAGCAGTTGACCTATGATCAGGCTGTCACTTGTCTGCACATATTTCTCTTCACTGATGTCAGGTTCCCATTTTTTTGACTTCATGTGTTCCAAACTGCATTGAAACCTTGGAGCTGCTATTCTTTGAGGTGAAGAAGATCCGATCGATGCGCAATCCCATGCTCAGTGAAGAGAAGCAGGTTGATGTCAGGAGCTTCTGGTAACTTGTCTTTACACTGCTGGGATTCACATTTGGCAACTAGTAGCACTTTTCCATAAAATGCCTCATACCCCCAACCTTGTCAGGTACCTCAAAGACCTCCTCAACAGGAATTGGTTTAGCTTGAGGACAGGGCATGGGGTTGGGTCTGAGTCTGGTATAATACATGTCAAGACACTGGAACCAGACAAGCCACGGAACGGGGGCCCACCCGAACATGACGCCCCCCACCCGCCATCCAGGGAAGCGCTGACCTCCTGAGGTGCCTCAATGTGCCTCGGACATGGGAGTAGTTGGATGGCTTTTCTCTATCTTTGTCATTCCCAGCAAACAATGGCTTTGAGGTGATTGTCCATATGTGTATTTGTTGTCAATAACAATTCTGACTTCAAGACATGAGATCCATGTTTGCAACATTGCAACCAAGGTAACATCATGCTCTCAAGGCCTATAAAAACACTTTGATTTGAAGTACTTTGGAACCACAGGATGTCTTGGATGAAAGTTGATGCTAGAGTCAATGTGCAATGAGGTGCAGCTCACTCCTGCGGCCTCCGAGATGATGCATCCCTCTGTGAAAAATGGCACTGCGGCGCTGGAAGCAGCCAACGGGAAAATTTCACAAGATTTTATCTTGTTCAACTATCTTTGTCAGAAAGGATAAAGATTAAAATATATGTATTTTTTAATGTATCAAAGCAAGTTCATCCCATACTACTGACTGAATGAATACATGCAAACTTAGGAACACAGCTCTGGGTTTGTATTTTCCAGAACAGGTGTACTTCTTTAGCACATGTGAAAACATAGCCAGTGATCCAATGTCTCCGGCTGAAGGAGATAAAGCTGTGGCTGCTGCTACTGCAGCCTGGACCTGAGCCTGTCATGTTCATTGATGCTAGTAAATGGTCCAAATTTTCAAAGTGATTGTTCAAATGGATGCTAGATGGATAGGTTTGCAGTTTCAGCATGGGAAAGTGAAAAATAACAAGTTTAATCATACATTTGTTTACAAAGTACTGTTCACCAATCCAAGTTTTGCTGAAATTTGCTCAAAGGTATTTCAACTTGCATGATGCCAACATGTGTGCTTGATGAACTGTCCACTGTTTGGCTGAGTGCTAGAGGAAAGCAGTTGAAAGATGAACTCATTGAGTACAAACATGGCCAGAAACAAATATTTTCCAACATATGGCATATGTATATCAAATTGTTGTCCTGGACCCCAGGACAACATTGCTCATAAAATGTAGGGCAATCTATATGGCAACACTGACAGGCAGCAGAAACATGCATCATTGAACATTTACATTGAATCTAAACTTTGCAACTGGCATGTGGAAACAAACATTCCATGATGACCTAGAATGTCACAAACTTATGTTTGAAAAAATCAGTGTCCAACATGTTCTGAGCACCCATGCTCTGATGTCGAAAGGACCTGATCAGGGACGTCTCAAAAAGGGACTGGGGTTCTCAAAATGAAGGGTGTGTCTCAAAAACTGCAGTTTCTGAGAAGTGTGTGTCGATCAATTCTATTTCGAACAATGTCATTCACAAGACAACATGATTGGGCATACAGAGACTATTTTCGCAGCTGTGCACAGAGGTCACTTCATCATTGCAAGAAGAGGGAAGCACACCTCTGGCAAGTGTGGCCAGTACTGGTTTCCTCCGAAGTGTAAGTTGTGCATGCGAGCCACACCGGGTTCATCAAGCCAGGTCACCAAGGGTGCTTCAAGATCTTCATCCTTCTGATTGACCAGCTCTTCAAGAGCTGTAGCACCAATGGGGTAGTTGTACTTTTTCAACAATCCAACAAGGAGCCCAAGCTTTTTGACTCGGTCTGCAGAAAGTTCCACCTGCGGGATATTGTGGAGATCTGAAGCCTGCCCCAACTGACTGACCCTGTCAGCTGGCAAAACCAAGACAGGATCATGAGCTTGACTGGCATCATGATGCATCCGAGCCTTCAAAATGCAGTAAACATCATCTTCGGCATGATCTCTTCGAAGACGAACCTTTCCACGCTCCCTCTGGGTCAAGTCTCCCAATCGCTTGTAGGAAAACGAATGCCCAGTGATCCTTGGATCGTCATCTTCATTTTTTTGTTTCCTCCCCCGGAAGGTGTTGTACAACTTCACATCCAATGGTGCCAGCCATGCTGACCAATCACGCACTGTTTTCAGCTCTTTCACCATGATTTTTTCTTTCAAATGCTGACTGCGTTGAGTGAGAGCATCTTGCAGGACTTTCTGCAGATCACTGATGGACTGCCAAGGACGTCTCCTCATGACAGGTAGAAGTTCCCCCATGAATCTGTCCACGTCTTCATGAGTGTGGCCTTTTTCCATGTAGTTCGCTGTGCATGTAGAGAACAATTTCAATCCCACCAACACTGATAGGAAATTATGTGTCTGCGAGTTTTTGGACAGTGCTGTTGTGTTGTCTGTTTGTAATATGAGATGAGCTGGTCGGGGCTTGATCTCCTCAATGGTTTGCACCAACATCTCAATCAAAGCACTCGATCCATGGGTAAGTCGCTCTTCATCTTGAAGAAAAACAGCAACAACATGGCCATGTGCAAGGACGGCTGTCAATACCTGAAAAAACGACCGATTGCTTCAACAGGTGGTTGAAAGTAAAAACGAAACCCATGAAGACATTGTATGTCATGTAACATAATGCAACTTATCATGCCAATGAATGATAAATGTATGTTTGAAAAAATATATCTTACAACCTGAGCCAAGCTACACACCTCGGCCTGTTCAACTTGTCCAAATCAGCAGGTACTCTGGAGAATTCGAACTTTGGATATGCGCATTTCCCCTTGTCTAAGGAGTCGGCTATGATGGTGAGCACGCCTTGGTGCTGCCGTGAAGAAAATCTCAGCCCCCAATATAGGCATCTGTCATGGTACTGGTTCTGGAGGTGGGTCCTCCATGCTGCTGCAGTTTGTTGCTTCTCCTCCATGGTAAGTCGTCTGTCATGAAGTTTGCCACGTTGCGTTGCACAAAACTCACATTCACTGTGTTGTGACTTCTTACGGAACTCAAGCAGCTTGTGGCCTCTCCTGACATGCCAATGCTGAGACCATGCCCGGTAAAATGTTGACCAGCCAGGTGTAGCCAACTCATCGGAAAACTTATGGCTAGGAGCTCGACGACCTTGGTTGTGAGACCAAGCTAAGAACTGTTGCCAAAGATCAGAAATTTCACCTGGAGGAAGTGTGCGGGTGTGCGCAGACTCACTGCACTTGAGCAATGCACTCATCATTTCAGCGACTGGTGCCTCCAGCATCCAAACGAAGTGCTTGCTATACTCCACACTGTTGACACTAACTTCCTCTTGACCAGCTGAAGCTATGTGATCATCAATAGAGCAGTTCTTGTCCAGAACCGGTTTCTCAGGCAAGTCTTCTGCAGCAGTCTGGTAGAGCTCGGCAAAAAACATGTGGCAGAACATGGTCTGCTCTTTTGACCTTGGTGTAACAGCACTGTTGCTTCTTCTAAGGTCAGGCTGACCAGAGATGTACTTCAGCAGGGTCCGCTCACTGTGGCCTAAGATTGCTGCGAATGCTTTGAAGCAAACATCTTTACCACACAAACTGTATCTTCGTCGGCCCTCCTCCAAAGCAGAATTGGCCTCGGGAGTCTCACTGTTGGACTCAGTAAGATCATGTGAAAGCGCTGTCAAAAGAGAAATCTTGGATGGGTCCGCAAGATTATGCCACAAATTGAGCAAAGGCTTCAGCTCTTTGACCTTGAACTGCTGAAAGCATGTTCTCTTGGAACATTTGCAAGGCAGCTGCACCAGACCAGCTATTCGATCAGTGTTCTTGCCAGACACACTAAACTTTGTACCTGTTTTCACCTCTGCGGGGATGCATGCAATAATCTGTGCGGTCAAAGCAACAACTCTAGATTCAGCCTTTTCATCTTGCACAACATTGCTACTCCTTGACATTGGTGGTGCTTCCTCATCTACCAATCCGACTTGTTTCCATGACAGTGTGGTGGCTGATGGTTTCGCCTGAGCATGGCCATCCAACGTTGCCGTTTTCCAGCTGGATGAAGCTGATGACTTGGGCCTCTTAGAGGCAGGTAGGGTGACATCTTCAGGCTCCAGGGTTTGTTTCCGCCAGTCCATGACCCACTCAAAGGGTAGTAGTAGCAGCTATGTTTCAATCATCTTTGCTACCCACAGATAGTATATAATTCTATATATGTGTGTGTGTGCGCATGTATTTTGAATGAAATGAATTGAAATTTATCAGGCATGCATGTAGCATGGAAGGTCCTGGAGGCCAGGACCATGTGTGCATCTTACACTGCCTTGAACCAGAGACACATGTTCACATCATGTTTCTTTAGTGTTCGTCACATGCATGTGACAAGTGAATCACATACTAGATATCAAAGATGCTCTTCACTGCAACTCAAAAGCGCACTTCAATTCAAAAGACTGCAACACATGCAAAGTCTGAACAAATTTGGCCATTGCTGCTGCTGACGTTGTTCCCTTTGTGGCCGCTTGCACATGCATCAGCGCAACATGTTCTGGATCAGCTGTTGAAAGATATGTTTTTGACAGCCTAGGCAAACTCACTGCATCTCCTTGCACCAATCAGCATAGGCAGCCTTGAACTCCTTGATTGTGGTCACTTTCTTCTGGTGCATGATGTATTTCCAAAACTCCTGTGGAGTGGCCTTTGCCCTTGCTGTTTCGGCATGATCCAACTTGTCCTTCTCTCGGTCTGTATTGAAAGAGTCCTTGATGAGCTCGAACAGCACCAACTTATCCTTGTCCTGAGGAGGCCTGCGGCCAGCAAATGTCCCTGCTGTGCCTCGGGCCATCCTCGGTGCACCAGCTGTCTTTTTTCCGGACAGGCTGCTCTTCATTGGTGCTGCACTCTTCATGGCTGACCCCTTCTTCTGAGGTGTCTCCAGCCCAGCCTTCTCAGGCGAAAACAGTGCCTTTGGCCGTTGTGGAGAGGCACAGTCCATAACTGCCCCAGGGCTCTGCTTCATAGGCGTCGGACTCTGCTTCATGGGCGTCGGACTCTGCTTCATGGGCGTCAGACTCTTCATGGGCGTCGGACTCTTCTTCATGGGCATCGGACTCTTCTTCATGGGCGTCGGACTCTTCTTCGTGGGCGTCGGACTCTTCTTCGTGGGCGTCGGACTCTTCTTCATGGGCGTCGGACTCTTCATGGGCGTTGGACTCTTCTTCATAGGCGTCGGACTCATCTTCATGACTTTCATGGGTGTCGGACTCTGCTTCATGGGTGTCGGACTCTTCTTCATGGGCGTCGGACTCTGCTTCATGGGTGTCAGACTCTTCATGGGCATCGGACTCTTCATGTGCGTTGGACTCTTCATGGGCACTCTTCATGTTGGACTCTTCATGGGCGTCGGACTCTTCTTCATGGGCGTCGGACTCTTCTTCATGGGTGTCGGACTCTTCTTCATACTCTTCTTCATGACTTTCATGGGTGTCGAACTCTTCTTCATGGGCGTCGGACTCTTCTTCATGGGTGTCTGACTTGTTTTCTTCACGGGTGACTTTTTCATGGCATTCTTTTGCACTTTCAACGGGGACCTCTTTGGTGTAGCCACAGCTTCCTGAGGTGTTGTAGTCATGCCTTTGCCATCAGGGCTTGTCATGGTTGGTCGTTGGGGCGTGTTATGCGGGAAGGCCATCTCATCTGACGAGTCTGACATCATGAAGCGAAGTCGGTGCAGCAACTAATGCAAAACTGTAGCTTGGGACACAGAATCCTTCAGAATTCAAGCAAATGAGATCAATCCTTCAGAATTCCAGCAAATGAGATCATTCCTTCAGAATTCCAACAAATGAGATCAATCAAGCAAAATCAATTCTGCACTTGAAGTGACCAATGCAAAGGAAAATTGAACGAAGTTGAAAGTAGATTCGCGCCATGACAGAATCTCTCTCCATCATAATGCGGTTGTTTTTGAGATGGATTGGCACATCTCAGTGCAACAAGGTTCTCCCTGCTGCAGCCTAAGAGATATGAACTCAAGTCCAAAACCGGGCCTGACCTGCCCCATCCGAGTGAACAACAATGTAATTTGGTTCTTGTTTCATGATAAATGTGCACTCAAAGTTTTGTCAATGAATGTCAGAATGGGGCAGGTGCACCAGACAGGGGTACAAGATCCTTCCACCAGTTGTCCTGGCTGCCAGGACAACTCACATAGAAAACGGATTCCAATTTTTTCAACATAAAGTCCTGGCTTCCAGGACGACTCACACAGAAAATGGACTCCAAACTATTCACACAGAATTTGCAAAGATCTGTCATATATGATGGTTAATCATTCTTGGCAGGAATCTTGTTTGCCCCATTCTACCCAATCTTGTAAGTCTTGCCTTCCTTGATTGCCAAAGGCGCTTTCAAAAAGAGTCCCGGTTTTTGTGGGTAAATCCCAGCTGGGCTGCTGGACTGCTCAATGAATTTGAGCCTCATCATCAGGCTCAGCAAGTTGCCGCTGTCATACTCCCAGGTGTCGAACTTGATGTGTTTCATCAGTTGGGAAAGTGCATTCTGCGAAGATACTTCCATGTTGGCAGCCAGCTTCTTGATTTCGAAGACGCATGGTTCAGTAGATACGCAAAGAACTGAACCTGGATTGCTATAGTCCAGCTCATGGGCAGCAATGAAAGGCTGGACAATCTTGTCATTCTCTAGCTGCTTCAGGAAATCTTCCAGTGTCATCTTGCCCTCGGAGTCATCCTTGATGAACCAGGCCTCATACTTCACACTGTCCATTTTCCATTGGAGGGAATTCCTGTGCTCCTTGCCATCGGTGTGGTACTCCCCGTAACCCAGCACCAATGGCAGAGTGGCTGGCACAACTGCATCCTGTTTGGCCTTGACATACAAAGACTCATTGTCAATGACTAGCATGTAGTCTGAATTGTCTGCCACCGTCGTTCCAGTGACATCAGCACAAGGCTCGATTTTGGTGGGTTGCACATCTGGGGCCTCAATGCTTCGCTTTTTCACCTTGTAGGTCTCAGAGCCTGATTTGTTGAACTTCTTGTTGTGCTCGGTCTGAAGCTTTGCAAAGTCATCAGCAAACCTGCAGTGTTTCTTCAGCAATGGGTAGTAAATATGTTGAATGAGTTATTCACAACACAGGTGCAGTGGAAACATTTACACTGTGTACATGTTTTTTAATGTTTGACGACTCAAACAACCAAAGACCCAAAAGCGTACCTTGTCCATTTCATTGTGTCCAGGAATGACTGGCGGAAAGGTAGCATGAAGCTATCACCAGATGGCATCGGGCATGTCATTTCAAAGTCACCTTCCTTCAGGCTGGGCATGATGCTGTCTGGCTTGAGCTCAGTCTTCTTGAAGCCATCAAGCTCAATCACCTTCTTGTCTTGCAACTTGCCAATCATACGCCAGAACAGAGGGACCAAGAACTTGTAGATCTGCTTCTTCTCTGCCACAGCAGCCCCATCCTTGGTCGACTCAGTTGCCCAGATGGTGCTCAGAAGCATGAAGTCCTGCTTCGATTGGGCTTTCCGATGCATCATTGCTTCCATCACAGAGCTGTCATATGGCAGCAGGTCAGTGACAAAGACCGGGACTGTCACTTTCATGCCGCTCAGCAGCTTGCTCATGATGGACTGCCACAGCGCAGCACCGGACATCAACTGCTTCATGCGCTGAGGCTTTGACAAGGCCACTGTGATGTGCCCAACACTCTGGCTGGTCATCTCACTTGTCGGCCTTGCTTGGCAATCTTGAACAGCTCGACGAACCCACAGTGTTGCTGAACTCAGAGTCACCATTTTGCAAGATCATCCAAGCATCATGGGTGGCTGCCCGTGTGGAATGGGATTGGAGACTTTCCTCAGAGAAGATGACCTGAACCCGTCTGCATGCCAGCTGTGCACTCTCAGCTTTCAGTGTTGCTTCAACATCATGAACTGCCTCAGAGATCTTTTGCTCACCATCAGATTCTCCCCACCGTGCCCGGTTGGGGGATATCATGAGGCAGCAAGCCAGTGGATTGGGTGCAACAATCGCAGAGATCTTGGTGACCAAGTCATTGATATGCTTGGACCATCCTGTGCCCAGCTTCGTCAAATCGCACAGCACAACATGGTATGCACGTGGCTGGGAGAACTCCTCATAGGACTTCAAGGACTGCGTCACCACAAAGCCACTCTCCAGGCAGCAAACTGGCAAAATCTTTGCCTGATGATCCTTGCAGGAAGATTCGAATGCAGCTTTCTCGGACAGCAAGTGTTGCCGTCTGCTTGCAGCATGTTCTGCTTTCCAGTCCGAAAGTTGTTGAACAAAGCCCTGAAATTTGCCCTGTTCACCCTGGAGCTTGAGACACATGGCCTTGAACTTCGCCTCCTCAACGGCCTCCTCAGCCTTGCTTGCTTGCTCCTCAATGGAGAGGACATTGCTCTGGACACCCATGTACTGTTGCAGCCAACGAAATGAGTTCACCTCAATGTCCGGAGACTCTGTCTTGACCTTCTCAATGTACTCTTTGTCCCAGATGCCCTTGAGGAAACACCCTTTGGCTTTCTCAAAATCGGCAACACTCAAGGTCTTCTGTAAGTCTGCTTCAAAGGTCTGCCAAAGACAACAAACTTCGTAGGACTCTGGGAGGTTGTCACGCATCTTTGCCTCAGATTCAAGGGAGCTTATATAGAGCTGGGACTGTTATTATGGCAGACTAGCATGCATATAATGAGCAAATCAATTTCATGACATCCATGACCATGCTTTGTGGCTTCTAAACATCATACTGTTAATGACAAGGTGCTGCCCGAAAAGCCATGGATCCTTGCTTCTTCTTCGTGTTTCCGATCATCTGGCGTTGATTCTGGGCAAACATCTCAAGTTGCCGCTGGAGCCAAATGAAGTTCTTCTCCGGCGATGGCTTGAAGATAGACCCCCAGACTGCATTATCTGTGGGAAGGCTCTTGCGATCTGGACCAAGCTTCTCACACAAGCTCTTCAAGGTCACTGCACTTTCAGGGCTTTTGTGTCGATCCCAGTGTGCTTCCAGCAGGTCCACGAATGATTTGAGCTGGAATGGCAAAATCTTCAAGATCTGTGCCTCCTGCTCGCTGACACGAGAACCAGCCACAGAAGAGCTCTGGTTGAACTTCTTGATCTGGTCAGAGATGGCTGCACTGAAGTCCACTCCCATCTTTGCAAAGAGGGCTTGCCAGCCATGATACAATTGTATCACATCCGGTCGGGTGCTTTCCGACAGCTGGAACTTTCCTCGTACAGAAGCAAAGAACTCTGACTCGGCATTGGTTGCAGACTCCCATGTCACTTTGATGGCCACACAGGACTTGAAGACATCAAGCAAATCCCTTTGCTGACTTTGATCAAGTTCCGGCCAAAACTCCAGGACCATCTTTGAAGCCAGTGAGCGTGTGAATCCAACTGTGTGCTTCATACTGAACATACCCACCGGACCATTGGGCGAGGTGAATGTCACATTCAGCGGTTGTCGCACACTTTGAAAACTCTTCTCCACAAAGTTGATGGCCAACTCGACAATGGAGACCTGCTTGGGCTTGCCACGAAACCCGGCTGAATCTGAGAAACCCAGCTGCCAACAATCCACCCAATGCTCGGAAATCTCTGAAGATACCATTGGAACATCCACAATGGTGGTAGGGAAGACTTCGCCACGGGCTGCAAGGTCAGCTTTGATGCCCTCCAAGTAATCCTTGTAGGATTGCAGTGAGGCATACTTATTCTCAAGAACCTGCTGGAAATGCTTGGAGTCATCTTGACCATGAATTTCCCGAATCTTGTCGACCAAGATCTGCCTTGAACTTGCCATCCTAACCTTATCGTGCACAAATCAACCAGAACATGGGGAGCCATTTCAAGAGTGTATCTCTGGTAGATAGGGGCCCCCTTGCTACCAAACTGTGCTTTTTCTGGAGGGTACTAACAATGGAAGCTACTTGAACTGATGCAACTTCAATTGTTAGGGGGTTCAATTTGACAAGACCTTTGGTAGCTAGGGGGCCCCTTTCTACCAAGGTAACCTTCAGTCAAAATCCACTTTGATTTTGGCAGATGTTTTTATTTGATTTTTTTTCCAAAAAAACATTTCAGAACCCTAACATAAGCAAATTATCTTATAGATACAAAACTAATTGATAATACAGGAAGCAACATGACTGACAAAACAAGGCCTGGAAGCATAACAACTCAAACTTTGCATTGTCACTAAAGCATGATGAAAAGAATGCGATAATGAGGCTGGCAGGGAGACAATAATGAATGCCAATTGGTTGAGATTCTATCTTAACGAGCTTTGGTAGCATAGGAGCCAATTCTGCCATTGCATTATCTCTGAGGGATGCCTATAATGAGGTTGACTGGAGATAATGAGGCTGGCAGGGAAACAATAATGAATGCCAATTGGGACTCAATATCTTAACGAGCTTTGGTAGCATAGGAGCCAATTCTGCCATTGCATTATCTCTGAGGGATGCCTATAATGAGGTTGACTGGAGATAATGAGGCCTGATAGGGAGATAGTGAGGCTGGAGGGGAGATAATGAGGCTTGATAAGGAGATAGTGAGGCTGGAGAAGATAGTGACTAGGAGATAGTGAGCTAGGAGATAGTGAGGTGAAAGGAATAGTGAGGCCCAGGTGGAGGAGATAGTGAGGTAGAAGGAGATAGTGAGGCTTGAAGTTGTCAGAGATAATGAGGTGGGAGGGATAGTGAGGCTGGAGAAGATAATGAGCTAGTGTGAGGTGAAAGGAATACTGAGGCACAGGTGGAGGAGATAGTGAGGTAGAAGGAGATAGTGAGGCTTGAAGTTGTCAGAGTGGGGTCCAACATTGGCTGGAAGTAATAGTCCAACATGGTGAGGTTCCTCGGAGACTCACTGAGATTAGAGCAGAAATATCAAATACTGTGATTGTTCTCAGCCAATCCTGGCTGCCAGGATGGCAGACAAATTCCTGGCTGCCAGGAAAATGTGACTGCAAACCCTGCTATGTTGGTCACTGGAGTTTGATCCTGGCTGCCATTTGTGTTTGTGTTTGCTGTCTGTTGCTTTTTGATTCTTGGACGCCATGACTTTGAAACAATGACTTTGTACCCTTTAATCTAGATAAAATACTGTTTAATTGCAAACCTGTGGGTAGCTAATATTTTTAAATCATCAACGGCTTATACTGGATGTTGTCCTGGCTGCTCCAGACCACATGACTGTGAACCCCAGCTACCAGGTGCTACTGGATCTTGTCCTAGCATACAGGACTGCATGACTGCAACCCTGGCAGCAACCAACAGTGGCAAAATGTGTCAATGCAGCTGCTTCAGAGTGTCTAGAATCAATGTAATACTTCACTTTGTCCCAAATATTTTGTCTTAATTTTGCAATGTTTCCCTCTTCCTTCAGAAACATTTGTCATTTGATAGTCAGCACCCACCAAGGAGTAACGGAGTAGGCACCTTATTTTTTCTCCTCAAAAGACTGGTCCTGGTCCATTCGAATTGACATGAATAGACTAGACAGAGATCTATCAGGCAGCTTCACACTCCTGACAGCCATTGTGGCCGTTCCCGCCCACAAAGGTGGTCACTAAAGGATCGGAGGTGCAAGCTTGCTTCTGCAAAGCAGAAAACTTGTTGCAGCTCAAGGTCACCTTGGCCACATACCCATAGCCGCGTGAGCTCTCCTCCCTTAGCAGCCAGCAGGATCTTTAAGGAAGAAATGCATCTGGACAATCTTTTAAATACAAACCATGGGGAATAATATTGAAAGAAAACAAACACAACAACAAAAAAACACTGCCAAAGTTCAAAGGAGTCTCTCAACCATCTCAGTTGTCCAACCAATGTGGTCCTCATCCGTCATGTTCTCATCTGCAAAGATCATTAGACTGTCAACATCGGCCTTGATCTGCTCGGCCAAAACTGCCACCCCAAAGATGTCCAAGTGGCCCATCATGCGCATTCCCTGGTCTCGGCGAAGGGTAGCCACAATGTTGGAGAAGACACTCCTGATTTTCAGCCGTGTACCAAAAGATTGGCTAAAGTATGCCTAATATTTAGATTTATATTGCATGACATGAACAGCAAGATTTATGAGCCAAAGACGCAGCATTTTTACAACAATGTATATATATGTATGCCATATACTTGCATTCCCCCAAAACAATTGCACATATGTACAATTATATATATATATATTATACATATTATATATATACATATTATATATATATATACATTAAAGGTTACTTATATATATACATTATAATATATATAATATATAATATACAAAATCTATTATATATATACATATATTATGTATATTATATATATTATTATATATTATGTTATATACATATAATAAATATATATATATATATATATTGCATGGTTATATGCCACCGTATATAACTTGTGACCAAGCTTCATGAAGACTCGCTCTTCACTGGGCACTGAATAGGCCACCAAGCCCAGCTTATCCAGGTTGTCCACATACAAGTTCTTCAAACTAGTGAAGGAAATGATGAAGCAATCAGGCTTCTCCATCAAGGGCAAGATTTCCCGCTCAATCTGCTCTTGGGTCACTGGCAGATCACTGTCATCACCATGGTTGCGGCACCGGGTGAAGCGAACGAAAGACATGATGACAAGCACGTAGTCACTTTCAGACCACTTGAAACAAAATTTTCTTCAGGAAGTTTCAAGGATTGTGGCTTTGCCAGCAATTTCCAACGGAATGAAATCAACTGCAATCACGATAATAACCACAACAATATCCTGGACAACAACACTGATCTGATGTCCTCCATGTCTATGAGGAACTTGGGAATGCTTGTATAACAAAAGGAATGTTGCACAGTCACAACAGTGGTCCAATGATAGATTTTGTTGATCTCAGCCCTGAAAGTGTTAACAATGTCATTCAGTATATGTATGCATTCTTTACAGGCATGGCCACAGCTCCAAAAATGCAAATAGTATAGTAGCAAGTCGTGCTGTGTCAGAATCTGCACACATGATAGAATACTAGAGGATCTTGCCCTGAGCACATCAAGTACAAGCCGTTGATGATTTAAAAAGATTAGCTACCCACAGGTTTGCAATTAAACAGTATTTTATCTAGATTAAAGGGTACAAAGTCATTGTTTCAAAGTCATGGCGTTGGTCCTGGTTTCCAGGACCTTGTTGCTGTTATTGTTGTTGTTGGTCCTTGTTTCCGTGACCTTGTTGCTGTTATTGTTGTTGGTGTTGGTCCTGGTTTCCAGGACCTTGTTGCTGTTATTGTTGTTGGTGTTGGTCCTGGTTTCCAGGACCTTGTTGCTGTTATTGTTGTTGGTGTTGGTCCTGGTTTCCAGGACGTTAATGCTGTTATTGTTGTTGGTGTTGGTCCTTGTTTCTGGGACCTTGTTGCTGTTATTGTTGTTGGTGTTGGTCCTGGTTTCCAGGACCTTGTTGCTGTTATTGTTGTTGGTGTTGGTCCTGGTTTCCAGGACCTTGTTGCTGTTATTGTTGTTGGTGTTGGTCCTGGTTTCCAGGACCTTGTTGCTGTTATTGTTGTTGGTGTTGGTCCTGGTTTCCAGGACCTTGTTGCTGTTATTGTTGTTGGTGTTGGTCCTTGTTTCCAGGACCTTGTTGCTGTTATTGTTGTTGGTGTTGGTCCTGGTTTCCAGGACCTTGTTGCTGTTATTGTTGTTGGTGTTGGTCCTGGTTTCCAGGACCTTGTTGCTGTTATTGTTGTTGGTGTTGGTCCTGGTTTCCAGGACCTTGTTGCTGTTATTGTTGTTGGTGTTGGTCCTGGTTTCCAGGACCTTGTTGCTGTTATTGTTGTTGGTGTTGGTCCTGGTTTCCAGTTGTTGCCGGAATTGTTGTTGGTGTTGGTCCTTGTTTCCGGAACCTTGTTGCTATTATTGTTGTTGGTGTTGGTCCTGGTTTCCAGGACCTTGTTGCTGTTATTGTTGTTGGTGTTGGTCCTTGTTTCCAGGACCTTGTTGCTGTTATTGTTGTTGGTGTTGGTCCTTGTTTCTGGACCTTGTTGCTGTTATTGTTGTTGGTGTTGGTCCTGGTTTCCAGGACCTTGTTGCTGTTATTGTTGTTAGTGTTGGTCCTGGTTTCCAGGACCTTGTTGCTGTTATTGTTGTTGGCGTTGGTCCTGGTTTCCAGGACCTTGTTGCTGTTATTGTTGTTGGTATTGGTCCTTGTTTCCGGGACCTTGTTGCTGTTATTGTTGTTGGTGTTGGTCCTGGTTTCCAGGACCTTGTTGCTGTTATTGTTGTTGGTGCTGGTCCTGGTTTCCAGCACCTTGTTGCTGTTATTGTTGTTGGTATTGGTCCTGGTTTCCAGGACCTTGTTGCTGTTATTGTTGTTGTTGGTCCTGGTTTCCAGGACCTTGTTGCTGTTATTGTTGTTGGTGTTGTTACTGATTTAGTAAATTGCATTTACTGTACTTTGTGTTGTTGCTTTTGTCAATGTGCTTGTTGTATGTTTTATTTATTTCTGATTTGTCAGTTTGATGTGCATCCATGTTGTTGTGGTTGTTGTTGTTGTTGCTGTTGCTGTTGTTGGTCTCAGTTTTCAGGAGAGTGTTATTATTTGTCCTGGTTTCTGATAACCCCAAAGCAAAATTTGATGACCAGTTGTGTTGCATGAGGCTAACTCAACCAAATTCTGTTTTTCAAGGTGTCTCATGGCAATGATATTTGGTCCAAGGCACTGACTTCCAGCTGCCTGCGCAATTGCATTTGTGTGTTCAGTGATCCAGTGCAAGCAAATGCCAGTGCAAAAGCGCAAAGTTTCAGCATTCAGATTCATATACAACATGCATTCCTGAAACCAACTGTTGCTCTCAGTGATCTGGGTAGGATCAAGATATGTATTTTTCTTCATGTTTCGATTGGGCTTTTGGATGCATCATTGCTTCCGTCACAAAGCTGTCATAGGGCAACAGATCAGTGACAAAGACTGGGACTGTCACTTTCATGCTGCTCAGCAGCTTGTTCGAATTGGACAAATGCATGCTGCATAATTACCACACAGGTAGTGACATGCGATTGCCACAGTGCAAGGGGGGCAAATCATATGACACATGACATCACTAAGGCACTGCTTTTCATGAACAAATGACATTCACAGTGAATAAAAATAAAACACAACTTCAAAGTATGATATGTAACAATGCATTTAACATATAGCAATGAAATTTGAACATGATGCTCTCATATTGCTTCAGTCCTAGTTGGAGCCTGATCTTATATGTGCCCCCTTGCAAGACAGCAGATACACCCCGCATGATCGGTGCCAAAAGTCCTGGTACCCAATCTTGTATATAGATTCTTCAATTAGTTCATGCATATATCAACAGAAAGGCAGGGCAACCTGCATGAACAAGGCACTTGGCATTGCTGAAATATTGCATCTGATTAAAATTGTGCAGCATGCTTCCAAATGCATGAATTGGACACCTCAGGATGATGATGGCGTTGTTCTCTAACTCAGTGGAATCTGCCAACTTTTTGTCTGGCTGCTGACCTTTGGTCGAGAAGCTTCTGTGGACAGCTGCCTTGGCCGCTTGAACAAGTTCATGTTGCAGTCGGACTCTGCAATGTCACCTGTCGAATCTGAAGCGGACTTCCACGATGATGATGTTGATGCTGGGACTTTCCTCTTCCATGATGATGATGATGTTGATGCTGGGACCAACTCAGATTGGCCAAATGGAGCAGGAGCAGAGCCAGGAAATCTCACAGAGCCAGGAGCAGCCTGCCACTTCTGCACCATTTTGGAAGCCATTGCATATGGATATGCCCCTGATTCTTTCAGGTCTCTTCCTTTTCCAGTTGTTTGCTTATGGATTCTGCCATCTGCTTTTTTCACCTCTTTGACTGTCGCGAGGGATTCATGTGGCTGCTTGCATTTGCATTCACATTGCAATTCACGAATCCAATCATGCCTGGTCAGGCCTTCAATCCGGAAAATCTTCTTGTAGCGAGGCCCAGGTGCTTGAAATCTGCATCGAGCAACTTTCACTCTGGTAGTTCCAAGGCGATGAAGGAGTGACACAATACACTTCCGTTGCCAGAAGAAGTTGCCTTCCGGATTCTCCATTGTCACATCAACATTGCGCTGAGCACCAAATTCAAACAGCAAGGCAGCACGATCTGCCTGAATATTGCCCTCTGTTGCAAAGTCTCCTGAACCATCTGGATTGGCCTTTGTTCTCTTGCTGTTGGCACAGCACAAGCCACAGAAGCTCCGGCAGTCAGGAGCAATGTGGCACCAGCCACCTTCACGGACACGTGCCACAGTTCTTGTAGCCTCTGCCATGCCTTGTTCAGTCATGATGTCCATAGAAGGGTCCAGCAACTCGTCGAATGCCACGGATTTCAAGCCCAAAGCTAGTCCAGCTCCATGGATATTTCCACGGCCACTAAAGATCTCAGCCATGTCTAGGTCTCTGGAAACACCTTTCGCCACCTGGCACATCCTTGCCAGGTTCCATCCATTGGTTGCCATTTTGCGAAAAGGGGGAAAATATCTTTGAATCGTTTTGGAATGTTTTTGACATTGATCCAATGATTGATCTAATGATGACATGTTCATGTACTATCTTTGAATTGTTTTTTGATTTTTTTCTGACATTGATCTAATGATTGCATGTTCATGTACATTTCAAATCACTGTTTAAATGTTGTGAACCAATCTGGTGTTGAGCCAATGTACCAAGCATCAGTGCCGAGCCAATCTGGTGTGAACCAATCTGCATGAACTTGGCAAAAGTTGTTGATTGGATCCAATACAAAACATAAACAACTTTTCAGCCACTACCAATGATCAGTGTTTCAATATGATATCACTATCTCATGACTTGAGAGTGTCATGCCCTTGTAAGTACAAGATGGAACAAAGTCCCTAAAGAGAAGCTGAGTCAGCGCACGTTCAAGCCAAGAGCACCTTCAAGCCGGCACTGGTGCCTGGCAGTCAAGCAATGTACCGAAATGCATTGCTGTATGCAGTCACTCTATGTAGTAGACCACCTATATAGAAGGTAAAACACAAAAATTGCTAAGCCTGAAACATAAGTGTAGGTGAATTGCTAGTAACTGCTGATCTAATCTTCTATTAAAAAAATAACTCAATCAGGCACTGCTATGAAGCTACACCACCAATACTTCAACATGTGAAGGCTTCTGGGCCTGGCCTGAACCCACCAAGGCAAAAATGGTTGCGGACCCAACTGGGCTTGGGCTGCCATATTGCAGAGTCAAAGCTCGGAAAGTGGAAAGAATGCACTTGCTTGCATCTCTGGTGAATATGCAGCATTTGGGTCCAAGAAGAAAGAGTTCCCAGTTGTGTCTCTCCTACATGGCGAAGAAGAAACATGTGGCTGTGTATGCCCGCACAAGTACACAAACAAATGCACAAACAGATCCATGGTCCATGGTTGGTAAACTAACAGTACAATGATTGTTTTATTCTTGGATGCAAATGCTGTCATGCTGATTTGTTGTTGGGCAATAAGACAATGCTATTAGGCTACTATAGGACTGATTTGTCATAGTGCTACCAAGCTTTGAAATTCACTCAGGACAGTGCCCCTCGACAGTGGCGGGTGGCATCAGCAGCCCTTTTCAATGCTGGCGTCTCGAAGAAGAACATCACAAAAGTGAAAGAGGTGATCTCTGGATCAGTCCCAATTTGTCAACGTGTGAAATTTCTCAAGTTGCTAGACTCGGCCACTGACATCTATGTGGAATCAGCACGTGCTATTTCTCGGAAAGCTTCACAAGGTGAAGAGCTATACAACATTGCCAAAGAGAAGGGAGTCTCAATCATTTGCAGTGATTTTCCAAAGCTATTTGCTCTACAGCCATCACCCATCGAGAGCTTCATGAGGAAGCTGGTGCTTGCCATGCAGGAGCTTGACCGTGATGTCCTGGTCGAAAGAATGCAAGCAGGACTTGCTGCCAAGAAAAAACAACAAAGGCAAGGACACAATCAGGGTCCCCAAAGGTCAATGGTCGCAAGTCTACTTTACAGTTGCTGAAGCCAAGTTCATCCAAAGTGAAAAAAATGATTTCTCTGAGTAAGAAAAGATCAAAAGGATGCTTTGGGTGGCGATCCTTGGCAACCAAATTTGATGCTATCCTCAAGATCAAGGGCGGCAAGAAACTCAGTGTAGAGACTGTGCGCAGGATGGTGAGGGAGCTTGGATCCAGGTAGTCCTGATCATTGCAGTGGCCAAAACACTAAGTCTCTACAAACAGAGATTTAGTTCGAGATTCAGTGTTGCAATTTCAAACATACCAACCGTTGGTAGAACTTTGACAATGTACTTACAGTGTCTTGGTTTATGATGCCACGAGTGAAGCAATGTTCACACCCAGTGTAAAAAAAAATGTCACTAAGGCTTGTTGATGTTGAACTCAAAAGCACCATTGCTAATGCCTTTGCAGCCAAGAATATGACAGAAAAGGTTCCTGCTTGATGTTCCCAGAGAAGATGCCACACACACACATATATATATATATATATCTCATATGCATTTGAGTACATGGGCGCTCAAGTGTAGCAAAGTAAACTGAACAGAATTTCTGAAGCGGAAACATGCTGAGACATCAGATGCATTGCTTCTCAGAAACTGCAGTTTTTGAGACACACCCTTCATTTTGAGAACCCCAGTCCCTTTTTGAGACGTCCCTGATCAGGTCCTTTCGACATCAGAGCATGGGTGCTCAGAACATGTTGGACACTGATTTTTTCAAACATAAGTTTGTGACATTCTAGGTCATCATGGAATGTTTGTTTCCACATGCCAGTTGCAAAGTTTAGATTCAATGTAAATGTTCAATGATGCATGTTTCTGCTGCCTGTCAGTGTTGCCATATAGATTGCCCTACATTTTATGAGCAATGTTGTCCTGGGGTCCAGGACAACAATTTGATATACATATGCCATATGTTGGAAAATATTTGTTTCTGGCCATGTTTGTACTCAATGAGTTCATCTTTCAACTGCTTTCCTCTAGCACTCAGCCAAACAGTGGACAGTTCATCAAGCACACATGTTGGCATCATGCAAGTTGAAATACCTTTGAGCAAATTTCAGCAAAACTTGGATTGGTGAACAGTACTTTGTAAACAAATGTATGATTAAACTTGTTATTTTTCACTTTCCCATGCTGAAACTGCAAACCTATCCATCTAGCATCCATTTGAACAATCACTTTGAAAATTTGGACCCTTTACTAGCATCAATGAACATGACAGGCTCAGGTCCAGGCTGCAGTAGCAGCAGCCACAGCTTTATCTCCTTCAGCCGGAGACATTGGATCACTGGCTATGTTTTCACATGTGCTAAAGAAGTACACCTGTTCTGGAAAATACAAACCCAGAGCTGTATTCCTAAGTTTGCATGTATTCATTCAGTCAGTAGTATGGGATGAACTTGCTTTGATACATTAAAAAATACATATATTTTAATCTTTATCCTGTCTGACAAAGATAGTTGAACAAGATAAAATCTTGTGAAATTTTCCCGTTGGCTGCTTCCAGCGCCGCAGTGCCATTTTTCACAGAGGGATGCATCATCTCGGAGGCCGCAGGAGTGAGCTGCACCTCATTGCACATTGACTCTAGCATCAACTTTCATCCAAGACATCCTGTGGTTCCAAAGTACTTCAAATCAAAGTGTTTTTATAGGCCTTGAGAGCATGATGTTACCTTGGTTGCAATGTTGCAAACATGGATCTCATGTCTTGAAGTCAGAATTGTTATTGACAACAAATACACATATGGACAATCACCTCAAAGCCATTGTTTGCTGGGAATGACAAAGATAGAGAAAAGCCATCCAACTACTCCCATGTCCGAGGCACATTGAGGCACCTCAGGAGGTCAGCGCTTCCCTGGATGGCGGGTGGGGGGCGTCATGTTCGGGTGGGCCCCCGTTCCGTGGCTTGTCTGGTTCCAGTGTCTTGACATGTATTATACCAGACTCAGACCCAACCCCATGCCCTGTCCTCAAGCTAAACCAATTCCTGTTGAGGAGGTCTTTGAGGTACCTGACAAGGTTGGGGGTATGAGGCATTTTATGGAAAAGTGCTACTAGTTGCCAAATGTGAATCCCAGCAGTGTAAAGACAAGTTACCAGAAGCTCCTGACATCAACCTGCTTCTCTTCACTGAGCATGGGATTGCGCATCGATCGGATCTTCTCCACCTCAAAGAATAGCAGCTCCAAGGTTTCAATGCAGTTTGGAACACATGAAGTCAAAAAAATGGGAACCTGACATCAGTGAAGAGAAATATGTGCAGACAAGTGACAGCCTGATCATAGGTCAACTGCTCCAGAAGACTGATGACCAAGACGGCCACGGCCGCACTCCGATTTTTGCCATGCCGGCAATGAATGAGGATCGGGTTGATGGAGCGCTGCTCTTTGACAAACTGCAGTGCTCGTCGCAGCCTTAGATTTAAAGAATTCTAGGTGGATACAAATGAACAATAAAGTATTATCTATACAGTTTTCCTGGTTGAGCAAAATTTCTATTAACTGTAAGGTGATATGGTCGGTTGCCCAATGGAGAATAAATATGCCACCCTGCAATTAGTGCAGCTGAGCCACGCATTGACCAGATTGCCTCTGTTGTACTCGTGCGTCAGGTTCAGGCTGTGGAACTCCAGTGACTGCCTTCCGGCTAGACTCTCGCACTGAGCTGAAGTCCTTAGTACCAGCAGTAATCCCAGGTGATCTTCTATAAAAAAACTTGCATGTGCATGAACATGTTTAACAACAACAACACCAAACCAATATATAAACTACAAAAAGGAGTGAAACAACAGAAACTACTTTGACATCAACAACAAGAGCCAAAGCTGTCCTGGAAACCAGGACTGACAACAACAAGGATGTCTACAGTAAACCAAACCTTTACAGTAACTACAAGAATCACAACAACAAAAACAACCATGACACCAACAACATAAAGCTGTCCCGGAAACCAGGACAGACAACAACAAGAATAGCAACAACAAACAACATATGAAACCATCATAATGAGAACAACAGCAACAACAACAACAGGGACACAAAGCAGGCCTGGAAACCAGGACTGATGACAACAACAACAACAACCACAACAACAATGACAATGACAAGGACAATGAGGACAACAATGACAACAATCATAGCACCAACCATAACAACAACAGCAACACAAAGCAGTCCTGGAAACCAGGACTGACAACAACAACAACAACGACAACAACAACAACAGCAACAACAACAACAACAATGACGAGGACAACAAGGACAACAATGACAACAATCATAACACCAACCATAACAACAACAGCAACACAAAGCAGTCCTGGAAACCAGGACTGATGACAACAACAACAACAACAACAACAATATTAAGAAAAAAAACAGTGCAAACAAAAAGGTACGATTGTAGTCTAGGATTCCAGGATGATGGAAATGATTTTTTTTTGAGTCATAATTCTGAATGCAGGACAAAATTCCACTCGCCATTCGCTCCGAGACAGCAGAGGATTGAGCAGCCTTCCAGGTGATCGTAGGGCGGCACCCCTCCCAGAAAGATGCCACTGGAGATCTCGGTCCTTAGAAACAACCGGGGAGAGTTAGCTGAATGATAAATATGTCGGACAATCACCGATCAATAGTCATGTTTGTGATGACATAGCTGTGGCAACAATTCATACACACACACATGGGCACTTGGACTACATTATGGTGCCCAATGAATGTAACACTGATGGACAGGTTTTGATTTATAGTGATGCCAAAAATACATGGGGTTGAAACTCTCAGCCAAGGTTCATGTGCTGGCCATTGACATCCTGCAGATCTGCCAGTGAGGGTTCCCGACTCCTCTTCTTCACCTCAGGTTTTCACATGCCCCAAAGCAATACATTTCTAATAAATCGAAAACATTGAGTACTCTTGTGAACTGAGCATGTGCAAAGAAAGGCTGATGATGTTCCATATGTTTTTGACAAAGTTCCACATACATTTTTGTAAAGAAAGGATTCTCTGACAGGCATTTGTTTTGGTACAATGCTTCTTTCTGCAACCAATAATCTGGTTATGTGCATTACATAGTTTTGTACATCCTTGCATATCTTTGTACATCATTAGACTGGATCCTGATGATAAATCGTGAAAGCAATAGAGTGAAACTCCTCATGTCATTTGTGGATTACATACAAAAAACACATGCAGTGTTGTTTCCATGCAGTCTGAGATTTCCACATGCAGTCGTGGCATCGCTTTGGGACGAATTGGCATTGCCTTTGCCTGGGTGGTAAGAGAAGGTCAACTTTACAAACAATAACCTTCCTATATATTTGCATTGCATGCCTTTGTATGTACATGCCATGCAAGTTTGTACTTTTATAAACCAACATACCTACATACTTGTACTCAATGATGTTTTCAAATACATGGAAGACTTACATCAGTTAACAGACCCATGAACACCAAATAAGCATTGTCAAGGAACCCGGATCAGTGAATCTGAAGAAGATGCAGGCCTGCTAGCTTCAGCCATGTCCTGGGGGCCAGGACATGCATCTACAGGCACAGGGCAAAGTTGTTTTTGCAGATGCCATGTGTGTTTGATCTAATTCAAATCAGCGTTTGCAAATATACCTAAGGTCAAGGAACATCACTGACCAACTCAGGTTGAATGTACATGTGCAAACTGCAACCTTCCCAGGAATCATGCAAACCCATGTGGCAATATTTGAAATATTCATACACACATGCATACTTGTACACTAAATAATTTTTACTTTATTATCCACATGAAAGTTATTGGAATACTTGCATTGATCAGTCAACAAATGGATTACCCCAAATAACCATTGTCGAGGAACTGTGGCTTCCTGATCTTCAGCTTCAGATGCAGGCCTGCTAGCTTCAGTCATGTCCTGGGGGCCAGGACATGCATCTACAGGCACAGGGCAAAGTTGTTTTTGCAGATGCCATGTGTGTTTGATCTAATTCAAATCAGTGTTTGCAA